CCTTCATTCTATAATTCATGTCCAAACTATCAAAGCCAACCTCACTTTACTTACTTAATTGGCCCATTAATTTTATGAGGCCCAATCTTACTACTTACCCTACACCACCCTCTCTCTTCTATAAATACCCTATGAATCCCCAAATTTTTCCCCACACTAAAAGGTTAGTAAACTCTCTTCTCCTTATTTTATTTCTTTATTATCCCTTTATTTTTTCTTTTTCCTTTATTTTTCCTTTATTTTTCTTTTCTTTTTCCTTTTTCTTCTTTTTTCCTTTCTTTTTTTTCTTTCTTTCTTTTTTTTTTCTTTTCCTCCTCCTTACGTGAGGAAAGCTGGCAGCCCTCCCTCCCACCTGCTGCCCTGCTCGGACTGCCATCCATGCCGCCGGATTCCGGTGATGTCGCCGCCCCTGCTCACTGGCAAACCACCGTGCCCACCCTAACCTTCCTCCTCCTTTTATTTTGTTCTATTGTCATGTTTATTATTAAATTATTTTGGGTTTTGTTTTTGGTAGTATAAAGATTATATTTTTAGTATCAAAATTATGTTTTTGATGTTTTAAACTAATAATTTCATATTATAATTGTTGTTATAATTTTCAGATTTTATAATTTTAAAACCTAGGGTTTCAATTTATTTAAATTGGGATTTTAGGGTTCTTATGATCAATTAATTTGGGGCTTTTGTTCCTATTGCAGTTCTAATGATTAATTTAGTATAAAAACATGTTTTAAAGGAAGTTTTAAGGAATTTTAATCAAATATATATTGCTGGAATTTTATTTATAGAAGTAGTGTTGTGATTTTAATGAAAGGGGTTTAATTACCCATTAAAAGAGAGATTAATTAAGTGTTTTAAAATAATTTTCAGATTTTTATAAAGTCTTAAACTTGCTGTAATTTTATGAAAAAAAAAGTGTATTTTAAGATTTTCATGAAGGAAATTTAAAGAACTATAAATAAAATTTTGATTTTAATTAAAGGCAAGGTTTAATGTTGTTTATTAATTGGATTTTGAAGGTTTTAAAGTAAGTTAGTATTGCTGTAAATTTGATTGATTGGGTATTGATTGAGATGTTATTGTTTGGTTTAGGAGAGGAGTTTATTGAAGGTGATTTCTAGATAGTAAAGTGGCATACCAATATGTTTATTCAAGGTACGTACAAGTTACGAAACCTTGCTTTTAGGTGCATGTTTAAGGACGGATCGAGAACTTAGTATCATGTATAGGGATGATTGAGTTAAATTGTTTGGTTATACATTGTGAATTTCGTATGACGTGCACTATTTTATATTGCAAGTATTATTTGTGCTCTAATTATGCAAGGTTGCGCTTAGAGGCAAAGGTATACAATTAGTGTAACGATTAATTTATTACTCATTCGTGATTATGCAAATAGGATGAGTAAAGGAAGAATTCAAGTCTTATAAGACGAGGTTAAGGTTTTGGGGTGCCTTATGCACTCAAGGTGTTTATACACCGAGGTAGTAAAGGAATAAATAATAAGTGTTGTTTGTCACTAATAAATCAAGAATTGAAATTGGAAACTTGCCTTGTTTGATTGAATTGTGTTTATAATGTTTGTATTGTTATGCATATGAGTCATCACTAAGTCTAAACATGTAAATCACGTGAAGTGAAAGATGGATGAGCAATAAAACTCTGGATTGGTGCACATCTGGAGTAATGACAATCAGGGGTAGGGGTACACGGGGTATTAGCCGTGTACTTTCATCAAGGCCGTCTAATCTACGAGTCTCCTATTTCAAATATTTTTTTAAACTAGGAGTTAGGTGAGATCTCATACTAACTACGGTCACGGAGTCGCGCCCATGGTCGTTGGATGTTTATTGATGTTTCCGAAAGGAGGCATGGGGTTTTTCTTTTATTGATGTTCCAAATGGGACATGGGTTGGACAACCTTGTCTATTGCTAAATCCAATTAAATAAAGAAATGAGTTGGTTAATATTAACTAGTGAAGTCTTAATAAATTTGATGGTTGAGTCATGTGCTGAGTCTATAATTTAATGATGCTTATGCTTGATTATTAGTAGCATGTTAGGTATTTCTTAATTTATTTCGCACCTTGTATGTACTCAGCTTTGCTGATTGCGTGCTTTGTGTGTCTTTCTTTGGTCATGGCCTTTGCCTTTCAATGACCCTGCAACGATCCAATCTTTACACTTGTAATATTAGGGAGCAGACTCATCACATGTGTTTACATAGTTTGGACTTGCATCAAGGTGGTGGGATTTTGAGTGGAGAGTTGGTTATTGTTCGCAGTTTATTTCTTTTCATAAGTTTAAATTTATTTAAACTCTGGTTTTATTTATTTACTACTTTTGTGGGGTTTTGAATAAGGGCCTTAATGGTTCCAGATAGTATCACTTAATTTGGTTTTGTTTATTGGTTTTGAAACTTATTTATAACTGAGTTAGTTTTTCCGCTGCTATTTTCTGATAAAGCCTTAACATTTAAACATGTGGCGGTAGCACGCCAGTAATTCTCTTGGAATTGTTCAGGTTATTCACAGGTTTAAAGGAGAATTATTGGGGTGTTATAAAAGGTGGTGGCGGTGCTCGTGCTTTCTCTGGCGAAGTTAATTGAGGGAAGCAGTGAGTTGGAGGGAATTGAAGTAGTTAGGGCTCGAAAACGAAAAGAATGAACATGAAAAGGGGAAAGAGAAGGAAGAAGTAAGAGGCGCGTTTTTTTTTTATTATTGCCACCGGTTCGGTTCAAACCGGTGGATTTTTAAAAAAGCTAAATCCTGCCCATTTTTTTGCCACCAGTTTTAAAAAAACCGGTGGCTTAATGTTGGTGCCCTATAGTAATTTTCTACTAGTGTTCGAATTCTTTGATCTTATCTTTTCAAAAAAAGAAAATTAAGATCTGTTAGAAACTTATAAAAGCTTCTAATTAAATCCTAATTAGTTTAGGAATGGGATTAAACCTTTGGACCCTCCACAGGATCATTGGGTCGTAGGTAAAATCCGGTTTGGGCCCAATTTAGTATTTTGGCCATAACTTCCTCATTATTCATCGGAATTGGGCTTATAATATATCGTTGAAAAGGTCTTTTCACGCCCCATACAACTACACTATTATTGGACCCTTATCATGGACCATACTAAACTGGATTGGACATTTTTTATAAATAGAGTAAGAAAAGAAATATTTTCAAAAACAGAAAGAACTATTTTTATTAAAACAACTGCATCATAAGACTTTTCACATTTCACCTCGTTCGATAATCAAATGACGTGAAAGATATTCATCACTGGGTTTGGTTTTTGGGGAGACACAATTAGGTGTCTACACAGGTCCATTCAAGTTCTAGTTATACCATCTCTCAACACTATATATCATGACTATCCTTCGATGTCAACAAGGGCGGAGCCACCGGGGGGCTGGTGGAGGCCCGACTCATGTGGCCCAAATATCAGGTCCTCTGTTTTTATAGTGTTGGCCCCCTTAAAGTAATTAGATTTGTACACAAATATTATCTAACAAATTATAGCTCAGCGGTTATTATTCTTTCATTGTGGAATAGAGTCGTAGATCTTAGGATAAATCCATACTACCTTTAAACCTTTCAATTTATTTTATGTTTTTTTAAAAACTTCAAATTAATTGTACTGTTTCTTTTAATCCAATCTATTTCCCCTTTTTTTGTGCTTATACTTTGGCACCTAAGCCACTTATTAACATTTTTGACAAATCTTACTGTTTGATGTCTATAAAAATAATTAGTAAAGTTATAATATATGATATTTTTAAAATTATATAGTGGATATAATCCTGTGGTGTATTAAATTTTACACTTTTCGCACGCTCCTATATATATATAATATATTGTGACAAATATAATCTTCTAAGATCTTGTTAGAATAATTGTCTCAACATTTACTTTCAAACAATCAACTTTTTATAATTTTCATTAATACATGATGTGACATATTAATGGTATATAATCGCAGACATGCAATTCTTAACGTTAATGTTGCAATGAATTTAGAACAATGGTTACTTAATACAGTAACTTTTTTATTATTAAATTATACGAAGTAATTTATATACTAATAAAAAATATGGTCAAATCTAATGAATAAAAGTGAAAAAGTAATTTTTGCTAAAAAAAAAGTATAAAATACAATATGAGTATTAAAATATTTTGTTTTTATTATGAAATAAGGGGAAAAGGGAGAATATAAGATGGAGATGTAGATAGGTAATTGTGTTGTCTATATTCATCCATTTCATGAGCCATCTATATATATGCATGATGTAAACAATGTAACCAATATGGACAATGAAGAGTTCATTCATGAAGAGTTACAATGTGAACTAAAGGCATATGGGGGTTACAAAGGAAGTTACAAAGACACTTAAGATAGTCATACCAAAGAGATAGTTACAAGATATAACAGGCGTACATTATTATTTGTAACACTCCCCCTTGGATGCCCATTATCTAAGAAAGATTTAATTCACTTATATGATGCCTCATTAAAAACCTTTCCAGGAAAAACCCTGTGGGAAAAAACCATGGATAAGGGAAAAAGAGTGCAGCGCGCAATTACTCCCCCTCATTATTATATTACTGAAGATCTTTGAGACGACGCAATCCAATACGATAAACTAACTTTTTAAATGTTGTGGTCAGAAGAGCCTTAGTGAATAAGTCTATTAAATTCTCACTTGAACGAATCTGCAATACATTTATATCTCCATTCTTCTGAAGATCATGAGTGAAGAAAAATTTGGGTAAGATGTGCTTTGTTCAGTCACCTTTGATGTATCCTTCCTTAAGTTTAGCAAAACAAGTTGCATTATCCTTATACAGAGTTGTCGGTGCCTCTTTCCCAGATGATAAACCACAAACTTCTTTTATATGTTGAATTACCGACCTTAACCATACACATTCACGACTAGCCTCGTGAATTGCTAAAATATCATAATGATTGGAAGAAGTAGTTGCAATGGTTTGTTTCATGGAATGCTAAGAAATGGCAGTACCACCATATGTGAACACATATCCAGCTTGTGACCGACCATTATGAGGATCAGATAAATAATCTGCATCTACAAAACCAATTAAATTTTCTTTAGACAACTTTGGGAAAAATAAACCATATCCTTTGTACCTTGAAGATAACGAAGTAAATGTTTAATCCCATTCCAATGCCTTCGGGTTGGACATGAACTAAACCTTGCTAACAAATTAACTGAAAATTATATGTCGGGTTGTGTATGACTTGCAAGGTACATTAGTGCTCCAATTGCACTAAGATATGGTACTTCAGGGCCAAGAATTTCTTCATCATTTTCCCGAGGTCAAGACGGATCTTTCTCTACATCAAGTGATCTTAAAACCATAGGGCTGCTCAATAGATGTGATGTATCCATAAAAAAATCTTATAAGAACTTTTCCTATGTATGTTGATTGATGCACAAGGGGATTCCATTCTCTAGGTGCTCTATTTGTAACCCCAATTGACAGTTATTGAAATCTCTTTAGGAGTTTCAATAATATTCAAATCATCAACATACATCGGAATTATAACAAACTTGATCCAAATTTCTTTATAAAAATACATGGGCTAACAGGATCATTCTTATAACCTTCTTTTAACAAATACTCGCTTAGTCGGTTATACCACATACTCCCAGGTTTTTTAAATCCATAAAGAGATTTGTTCAATTTAATACATAAATGCTCTTGAGAACTAGATTTTATTGCTTCTGACAACTTGAATCCATTTAGGAGCTTCATGTAAATGTCATTATCCAATGGGCCATATAAAAAAGCTATGACTACATCCATCAAACGTAAGTCAAGTCCACTTATTGCCAGACTAATCAGAAATCTAAAAGTAGTTGCATCCATCATAGGAGAGTATGTCTCATCATAATCAATACCAGGTGTTTGAGAGAATCCTTGTGCAACTAATCATGCCTTATATCTTACAACTTCACCCTTTTCATTTCTCTTTCTCATAAAGACCCATTTATATCCTATTGGCTTTACATCTTCAGGTGTATGGATTATAGGTCCGAATACTTCTCTTTTTTCAAGAGATTTTAATTCTGCTTCAATTGCTTCTTTAATTTCCATTTTGGCCAATCATTTCTTTTTCTACGTTCTTCAATGGATTTTGGTTCATGATCCTCATTATTATCCATAACATCTAATGCTACATTGCATGCAAAAACATCATCAACGTCTATTTGATTTCGGTTCCATGTAATTCCAGACATGATATAATTTGTTGAAATTTCTTCATTATCGGGTACCTGAATTTCTTCTTGCATCATGTCTAAATTCTCTTCTGAAATTCCATCAGAAATTGTTTCCTCAACTTGACCATCATCAATCATTACTCCTTTTCTTTTCCGAGGATTGTTATCTTTGGAACCTATTGGTCTTCCATGTTTCTGACGTGGTTTAGACTCATTAGCAAATCTATTTTTGTCCTTCTGGAACATCTATTTTAAATGGAGCATTTACAGCTGGAATATGTGACTTGGTCACTCTTTTAAGGTTAGCAAACGAGTTTGGCAATTGACCTAAACTTTTTAAATGAATTATCTTTTGAACTTCCAGTTCACATTATTTAGTTCGAGGATCAAGATAAGATAATGATAATTCATTCGATTTAATTTCCTTTTCCAGCTCTCTTTTTTCTCCCCCTAATGTTGGGAAAAGTGACTCGTTAAAATGACTATCTGCAAAATGAGTTGTAAACAAATCCCCTATAGTAGGCTCAAGATATTTAATTATTGACGGGGATTCAGACCCAACATGTATTCCCAATCTCTTTTGAGGTCGCATCTTAGAGCGTTGTGGTGGAGCTATAGGAACATAAACCGCATATCTAAAAATTCTTATATGGGAAATATTTGGTTCCTGAACATAAACCAATTGTAATGGGGAGAGCTTGTGATAACTTGTTGGCCTGATGCGAATTAGTGCTACTGCATGTATTATAGCATGTCCCCAAGCAGAAATTGGGAGATTAGATTTCATAAGCAATGGTCTAGCAATTAACTGAAGACGTTTAATTAATGACTCCGCCGGACCATTTTGTGTATGAACATGTGCTACATAATGTTCAACATTTATCCCAATGGACATGCAATAATTATTGAAAGCTTGAGATGTAAATTCACCAGCATTATTAAGTCGAATAGTCTTAATAGAAGTATCTGGAAAATGTGCCCGTAACTTAATCAATTAGGCAAGTAATCTCGCAAACGTCAAGTTACGAGTTAATAACAAGGACACATGCGACCATCTATTTGATGCATCAATTAAAACCATAAAATATCTAAATGGTCCATAGGGAGGGTGTATGGGCCCACAAACAGTTCCTTGTATGCGTTCCAGAAAACTAATTGATTCAAAATTAATTTTAGCTAGTGATGGGCGAATTATCAACTTGTGTTCTGAGCAGACAACACATGAAAAATTATTATGAAGAATCTGCTTGCTCTTCAAAGAATATGCACATGAATTCGTAATTATTTTGCACATCATTATTGAACTGGGATGGCCTAACCGTTCATGCCAAACAACAAAATTATCACTAAACTTCTGGTTTACTATAGCATGAGTTTCAATAGTATTGATTTTTATGTAGTACAAACCACTGGAGAATGTAGGGAGTTTCTCCAAAACATGTTTTGTGCATTGAGTTATATTCGTGATTTGAAGGAATTCGTTATTTTCTTCATTGATTGTCTAAATATGATAACCATTGTTGTGAATATCCTTAACTTAATAAATTTTTTTGAGACAATGGGGAGTATAAACCATCAATTATTTTAATTTCAGTTCCCCAAGGCAATTTTATGTTGGCTCTTTCGGAGCCTTCAATGATATTTGTGCTACCCAATATGGTACTCACATTAATCCTTTTCATCATCAAATAAGAGAAATAATTTTTATTTTTAAGTATTGTATGAGTAGTTACATTGTTAAAAAGACATAATTCTTCACCATTCATAGTAAATTGAACTTGAGTAATATCCATGTTCTTCATGAAAGCATAAAAAAACAAATAATGATGATAAAATAATAAATCAATAAAAACACCCAAATAGTTCATAAATTCATAAAGCAAAAGTGTTTATCACAACCATAGAAAATAACTTAAGTAAATCACTAGAATAAGCAAAAAGTCTAATACATAAAACTGACACAAAACAATATAATTTTAATTATTCCCTTCTGGGGCAGTAAAGAAATCAGCAACTTCTAAATGATTTGTACTTCCAAAATCAATATTATTCCCTTCCGGGGAAGTAAGGAGATCAGCAATATTGAAATGATTCGCATTACCAAAATCAAAATCACCTTCACCTTCTTCAAGAACAAGGTTTGCCTCAACTTTCTTTCCTTTCTTCAATGATTCTTGGTAAAGTTCAACAAGATGCTTTGGAGTTCTACAAACCCGAGACCAATGGCCTTTTACTCCACAACGGTGACATATATTGGTCTCACTTTTCTCTTTATCATCTCTACGTTCCTACTTCTGGTGAGAATGTGAGTTTGTGAAATGACCTCCACGACCTCTACCATATCCACTAAAACCACACCCACGATTGCGACCATGCCATTCGCCACGACCGCGACCTCTACCTCGACCACTACTGCTGGAATGGTCTCTATTTTTAGTTTCTTTCCCGTTATGGGTTGTCACATTCGCTTCATGGAATGGAGTAGAGCCAGTAGGACGTGATTCATGATTTTTCATTAACAACTCGTTATTTTGCTCAGCCACAAGAAGACAAGATATTAATTCAGAATATTTTTTAAAATATTTTTCTCTATATTGTGTCTGTAGGACAATATTATTAGCATGGAAAGTGGAGTATGTCTTTTCAAGCATTTCTGCATCAGTAATATTTTCTCCACATAATTTCAATTGAGAAGTTATTTTAAACATAGTTGAGTTATATTCACTAACAGATTTAAAATCTTGCAATCTCAAATTCAACCATTCATAACAAGCTCTAAAGAGTATCACTGTTTTTTGGTGGTCATATGTTTCCTTTAGATTACTCCAAAGAATTTGTGGATCTTTCACAGTTAAATGTTCATTTTTAAGTCCTTCATGGAGGTGATGGAGAAGGAATATCATGGCCTTAGCCTTATCTTGAGTTGTTGCCTCATTAGCCTCTTTGATTGTTTCACCAAGCCCTTTATCATCTAGGTGTATTTCAGCACCTAACACCCATGATAAATTGTTCTTTCCAGTAATATCAAGGGCCACAAATTCAAGGTTGGCAAGATTCGACATTTTTCACTATACAAAATATTGTTCAAAATTAGATCTAATAAAATATCAAACATATACATATTAAATGTATTGGCAAAATAAAATTAAGCAGTACTATTATAACCAAATGATGCATGATATAAAGGCTTGCTAATATTAAGATCATATATTAATAGGTATGATAATCATATATAGTTATATACTTATTTTTTTGGTGTTCTACCCGGTTCACCCTTTAGGATAATCCGGATTCGGGGATCAGTTCTGGGTGGTTAGGTTCCAATCCCCTCCCAATTGTTGTTGCGGGGGATCGAACACAAGTTCTCCCTACCAAGTGTAGTCCCAATCACCACTACACCAACACCCAATTGGTATATAGTTATATACTTATTAAGCAAGCAAAATATAATTAGAGACCAAAATACTTAAAAATAGTAATGCACGAATCAAAGAAACGAATCAACCAAGAAAGATGTTGCAGAACTAAAATAAGCCATGATAATAAATTAAATTAATAGCAATCATAATAATATATAGTAGAAAATACTAGTGTACTACTCACAATTGGTAATCATCAATAACTATATACTAAAAGACACACCAGCAATGACACGTGTCGTTTTCTGGTGTGTCCATAGTTTTTTTTTTTTAAATGAAAACTTATTTTGGGTAAAAATTTCTTATCAACTTAAAAAGAATTAACTAAAATGTAAATAGTCATAATGGTAGCAAAATAAATTATAACAAGAATTTATGTAGCAAATGAATCACAGCAAAAGCTTTTTTTGTTTTTTCTTTTCCAACAATCTTCTCTACCTTTTTTTATTTTTTTTGACAATAACAATCTTCTCTGCTTTCTATACTAGACTTAGGCTAAATTACATTTCATTATTTCTTATTTTAAAACAATTAATTGACAAAAGAATCAAATACGAAATATTTTTTCTAAAACAAAATATTCAAATAATCATTAAACGTATTCCATTCAAGTTTAACTGTACTCTAATGTTTTAATTTAAGAAAAATAGTATGTATATCTTCAATAATTTCTAATTAAAAATTACAAACACTCTTTTAACGTTAGCTTTGATAAGTTAAAATATTAAGTATAGTATTAAACTAATGATAAATTATGAAGATCATTGTGCATGGCACAGGACCTAACCTGGTCAAATTATAAATTACTATACAATCATCAGAGATCATTAGAGACAACATTATATGATAATGTGACAACAAAGAACAACTAAATCTTCAACACAAATATGTAACTTTATCCAAATTAACACTCAATACACCTAGGGATGGCAATGGGTCCTAAACCCGACCCAGACCCAGTTGGACCCAACCCATATTTTAGGGTCTGGGTCCTTAAATTTTAGACTCGATGGATCTGGTTCGGGTCTGGGTCTAAGTTTGATGGGCCGGGTCTGGGTCTACACTTTTTGGACCCAGATCCGACCCATGGACCCATTTTAATTTAAATTTTTTTAAAAATAAAAAAATGTATATTAGACATACTATTATTAAAATAAACCACTTAATTAGATATATTAGATTAGTAATATATTACATAATTAGAGGTTGAGAAGACAGATTTTAGAGA